TTGGCTGTATTATTATTGAGTTTACTTGTATCAAGTTCTCCATTAATTTTACATATAGAAATTATAAAGGCACGGCATCTTCTGGTAATGTTGTTTTTGTTTACAGTACAGCATCTGGTAATACTTTGTTCATTACAGTACAGCATCTACGGTAATGTTGTTTTTGTTTACAGTGCAGCATCTACAGTAATGCTTTTGTTCATTGTTTACAGTTTATTACAATTTATAGACCAAAAATTTTAACAATTGAAAAACAGACAAATAAATTCAACAATTACCTTAATTAGCAGAAATTATTACGACGCGCAAGAAAAAATTAACAATTAGAGGGCATTTATTATAGGAACACACATTATTAAAGTTGACGAACAGAATTACTAATAAATAAATAAAAAATATTACAATCAATTCAAAACTACAACATTTAGAGACACAGGAATTAAAAATGATAGACAAAATTTTGTGAAACTCGTAATCATTCATCCGTCAGTGAACCTTCCTCCAAAGAGAATAATTTAACCAACTTCACAAGCTTGTATATGAACGTCCATCAATACAATAATAAAAAACTCATAATACTGCACTACACAAATTCTACGTCATGAAAAATTATCGTATCAGGAAGAATAATTGAAATATTACTATAGGACCCAGCACCATCAAGCGAACAGTGTTTAGGACCTACTGTAGTTTATCTCGCGGATGGAAGTCGAGTGGTTGCGGGTTTATTTTTATTTCAATTGTTATTTTGATTGTGGTAAAATCATTTTTGAAAAACGCATCTCGTTTCAGTCTAAGAATGTAGAATTTTTCAGGTGTTAATAGAGAGGCACGTGGAGATCAGTAGGTGGTTTGGTTGGTATGCATGGAAAAGTTTTACATGCATGCGCGAGGACTATAATTTACACGGACACATTTACACACGGACACTTACACGGACGCAGACACACACACACACGGACGCAGACACACACACACGGACGCAGACACACACACACACGGACGCACCGCCACATGGACGCACACACGCACATGGACGCAGACACACACACACATACTTGGTATGGTTTGGTTAGGTTAAAGAGGTTAGCTTAGAGAGGTTAGGTTAGGTTAAGATGGGTTATGTTAAGTCCAAATAGGTTAGGTTAGGTTGAATTCAAATAGATGAGGTATTAGGTTAGGTTGTAGTTAAGCTAGGTTAAATTAGTATAGGTAAAAACCAGACTAGGTTAGGTTAGGTTAGTTAGGTTAGGTTAGATTCATGTCATCTTTTCACAAATGATTTAGCAGATGAACGACTGCAAAAAACAAAGATCATATGACCTTTATTCCCTAATATATACAACCCAACTCTTAATAGCAAGTAAAGACAAACGGCATCTCTCCGTCACCTCACTGGGACTCAAATCACCCAAATCAATCACCCTGTTAAGCTTCACGTCGACAGATTACTAGGGTCGTCCCACTGTCCCTCACACCGGCGTTAAGTGAAGCGAGTCTTGCGCCTAGTTGTCCGTCTGGGCAGTGGTTCTCAACCTGTTTGCCCCATGCACCCTTTCACCATATGTCAGAATGTCATTCTCCTCCTTTCCAAGATTGTCTGCCTCAGTGCATTCCAAATAATATGCATATAATACTGAAAAACTTTATTTTTCCACATTAGTACATATACATTCCCCTTGAAACCTGAATTCCTGGGGGAATTTCCTGCTGAGAAACCCTGGTCTAAAAGGAATAAACGGAACAACTGTTAATCTTCCTTACGTTTAAGGACGAGGAAAACGACGTTAATTCGCAGGAAACGAACAAAAGAGTTTTTTCCTCACACTTAGATGTCATAAATGCACAAGTTTTCCACCACTCAACGATGGTTTCCGCTGGTCCAGAATACAAATGAACTTATGGTGACAGCTCACGAGGGGAGACCAAAATAGTTAGAGAGGTTTTATTGCAATTTTTTATTATGATTGGTCGTTGTTTAGGAACAAGATTTTATATAACTTCATAATGGCGTCGTTAAGAGGCTCACAATTCAACAAGTCACAGTGTTTTATTTATATCATTTAGCACATGCACCCTAGAACTGTCATGAAGGGGGGCACAGTGGTCGCCTCACCCCATAACACCCATTTTTTTACCATGCATGGCCACGTATTTTAAGACAAAGGCCTGAAATTTTGTTTATTTATTTATTTATGTATTTTTGTTTGTTTGCATATGAACTTAATTTTGGCCCAGAACGGATATAAGTTAAGAGCTGCTCCCCATAATCCAGGTGGTAGAGGCTGCACTCACCAGGTTAATTTTACTAAGTCAAAAACAAGCTTGAGCAACGCCGGGTACACCAGCTATTAGAGTATATTTCTTGGCTTTCTGATCTCATGCACATTCCTACCATCATATAGACTCAAGGAGACTGGCATAGTACTCAAGGAAGCTAGAATCGTAGTCAATGTTACCATCGTACTCAAGGAGGCTACCATCGTATTCAAAGAGGCTACCATCGTATTCAAGGAGGCTACCATCGTATTCAAAAAGGCTACCATCGTATTTCAAGGAGGCTACCATCGTATTCAAGGAGGCTACCATCGTATTCAAGGAGGCTACCATCGTATTTCAAGGAGGCTACCATCGTATTCCAAGGAGGATACCATCGTATTCAAGGAGGCTACCATCGTATTCAAGAAGGCTACCATCGTATTTCAAGGAGGCTACCATCGTATTCATGAGGCATCATCGTATTCAAAGAGGCTACCATCGTATTCAAGAGGCTACCATCGTATTCCAAGAAGGCTACCATCGTATTTCAAGGAGGCTACCATCGTATTCAAGAAGGCTACCATCGTATTTCAAGGAGGCTACCATCGTATTTCAAGGAGGCTACCATCGTATTTCAAGGAGGCTACCATCGTATTCAAGGAGGCTATCATCGTATTCAAAGAGGCTACCATCGTATTCAGGAGGCTACCATCGTATTTCAAGGAGGCTACCATCGTATTCAAGGAGGATACCATCGTATTCAAGGAGGCTACCATCGTATTCAAGAAGGCTACCATCGTATTTCAAGGAGGCTACCATCGTATTCAAGGAGGCTATCATCGTATTCAAAGAGGCTACCATCGTATTCAAGGAGGCTACCATCGCATTCAAGGAGGCTACCATCGTTTCGCAAGGAGGCTATCATCGTTTTCAAGGAGGCTAGCTTTGTATTCAAGAAGGCTACCATCGTATTCAAGGAGGATACCATCGCATTCAAGGAGACTAGCATCGTATTCAAGGAGGCTACCATCGCATTCAAGGAGGCTACCATCGCATTCAAGGAGGCTACCATCGTATTCAAGGAGGCTACCATCGTATTCCAAGAAGGCTACCATCGTTTTCAAGGAGGCTACCATCGCATTCAAGGAGGCTACCATCGTATTCAAGGAAGGCTTTGTATTCAAGAAGGCTACCATCGTATTCAAGGAGGCTACCATCGTATTCAAGGAGGCTACCATCGTTTTCAAGGAGGCTACCATCGCATTCAAGGAGGCTACCATCGTTTTCAAGGAGGCTAGCTTTGTATTCAAGAAGGCTACCATCGACATAGGAGGATACCATCGTATTCAAGGAGGCTACCATCGTTTTCAAGGAGGCTACCATCGCATTCAAGGAGGCTACCATCGTTTTCAAGGAGGCTACCATCGTTTTCAAGGAGGCTAGCTTTGTATTCAAGAAGGCTACCATCGTATTCAAGGAGGATACCATCGCATTCAAGGAGACTAGCATCGTATTCAAGGAGGCTACCATCGCATTCAAGGAGGCTACCATCGCATTCAAGGAGGCTACCATCGTATTCGGCGAGCTACCATCGTATTCAAGAAGGCTACCATCGTTTTCAAGCGAGGCTACCATCGCATTCAAGGAGGCTACCATCGTATTCAAGAAGGCTACCATCGTATTCAAGAAGGCTACCATCGTATTCAAGAAGGCTACCATCGTATTCAAGAAGGCTACCATCGTATTTCAAGGAGGCTACCATCGTATTCAAGAAGGCTACCATAGTACTCAAGGAGGCTAGCATCGTATTCAAGAAGGCTACCATAGTATTCAAGGAGGCAAGCTTCGTATTCAAGGAGGCTACCATAGTATTCAAGGAAGCTACCATCGTATTCAAGGAGGCTATCATAGTATTCAAGGAAGCTACCATCGTATTCAAGGAGGCTACCATAGTATTCAAGGAAGCTACCATCGTATTCAAGGAGGCTATCATCGTATTCAAGGAGGCTACCATCGTATTCAAGAAGGCTACCATCGTATTTCAAGGAGGCTAGCATCGTACACAAGAGGGCTAGCATCATAAAGTTATCAAACCAAACGTCATCATAAGGCAAGGAATATAACACGTGTGTCGACTGACGGGCGCCTCTATGTTAAAACGTTCCTAGTCGTCGGAACTGCTGTTGCACGGATGGCGAACGTTTTGCTGCAACTAAATCATTTTGTTTTTCAGGTGAGCGCTGCGTAACACTTCTGCATTGTCGATTCTCTTCTGTTGTGACATGAAATATAAAACCAATCAAATTATTCATTATTACACAAATCTATATATTTTTTTTGTTAGGTTCAGTTACGTTTCAATATACAAGAAAAAAATACATCAAAGTAATTTATCTGATGTATGTTTTTAATCTTTCCCGCCCACATGACTCTCACCTGTAGCAATTATACTTGGCAATATAAAATGTGTATTTCCCTCTAGTGAAACAACAGCCTGACGACCAACCAAAACATAACTCAATAAACCCATAAATAATGTTGACGTAGGAAATTAACTTTAAAAAAATTTAATAATATTTCTTCAATTAGAACTTTTAAGATAGACAGGTAAGGGAGCACCGTGTTACATCTATCAGGGAGCGTAGTGTGGCAGGCAACAGGCGGGGGCAGATAACATCACAAACACACCACACTACACAGTCGATAAAGGGTGTGGGCGGGAGCAAAGACACGCCATGCTGTCACTCACACTGATGCTGTGGTGCCATACTGAGGGCGAGGCTGTGGTGCCATACTGAGGGCGAGGCTGTGGTGCCATACTGAGGGCGAGGCTGTGGTGCCATACCGAGGGCGAGGCTGTGGTGCCATACTGAGGGCGAGGCTGTGGTGCTATACAGGAGGGTGAGGCTGTGGTGCCATACTGAGTGGCGAGTGCTGTGGTGCCACTGAGGGTGAGGCTGTGGTGCCACACAGAGGGTGAGAGGTTGTGGTGCCATGCTGAGGCCGAGGCTGTGGTGCCATACTGAGGGCGAGGCTGTGGTGCCACTGAGGGCGAGGCTGTGGTGCCATACTGGAGGGCGAGGCTGTGGTGCTATACTGAGGGCGAGGCTGTGGGTGCCATACACTGAGGGTGAGGCCAGGTGCCATACTGAGGGCGAGGCTGTGGTGCCATACTGAGGGCGAGGCTGTGGTGCCATACAGAGGGTGAGGCTGTGGTGCCATACTGAGGGCGAGGCTGTGGTGCCATACAGAGGGTGAGGCTGTGAAGACATATTGAGCAAGGCACACTACAACACGTTAAGAAGAGCGGCAGTAAAGAGTGATGGTGGTACTGAAGGTCGTGCAGGAGACAGCGGCCCATCAACTGGATATAAAAAACTGACGGTAAATATTGTGACAAAATAAGAAAATGGAGAATACAAAACACGAATTTGGTCACAGGAAGACTGAAATAATAACTGGTTTCGTAGCATAAACTTCCAAATTAAGATGATTACCCCAGCTTATTTTACCTTAGGATTAACTACCCTTAACTTAACCTAACCCAAACAAGCCAACCTAAAACTAATCACCTCAGGTACTGTTAAGGAGGGTGACCAATCTTCATGTGAATCAATAGTCCTTGTGATTATTAACAACAGAATCCTACTACAATAAAGAGAACAGACAAAGCGAACAGAGAAGTACCAGTGAGAGAGAGAGAGAGAGAGAGAGAGAGAGAGAGAGAGAGAGAGAGAGAGAGAGAGAGAGAGAGAGAGAGAGAGAGAGAGAGAGAGAGTTTAGGGCTCACTACCAGGACAACAGAAGGTAAGGGGATCCAATAACTGCTTAGGGTGTGTATTAAGGGTGTGTATTAAGGGTGTGTATTAAGGATGTGTATTCAGGATGTGTATTAAGGGTGTGTATTAAGGGTGTGTATTAAGGGTGTGTATTAAGGGTGTGTATTAAATATAGTTTTTGTTTCTGTGTTGTGTTTGTGTATGTGACGTTGGTGTATATTTTTGGTGTGTAATGAAGAGTAATATTGGTATATATGGCAATTTCAATACAAACATGGCATATAGAGTACATGTGAGAGTTAGAAATTGGACATACACAACGGAAAGGTCAAAGGGCCAGAACACAGGTCAGGTATACATGAATTATACAACACTGCATACACCAATACTAGTAGAATGATTTAAATGGAATATAAACAAAATGAACTAAAAATAATATGGTGAGGGAATAACTGTTTGAAAATCTCAACTCATAGTGACAACATTAACTTCCTTTATCTGTCTTAATTTATCTGTCCATTAATAATAGTGGAATCTGTATATAACGGATTTCTCTCTTTCTCCATATAGTCCGTTAGAGGGAGGTTTCACATTTACCAAACCATTTATATATCGGACAATCATCGCTATATAGTTCGTTAGATGGAGGTTTCAAATCTACCAGACCTTCGATATAACGGACATTCATCGCTATATAGTTCGTTAGATGAAGGTTTCATATCTACCAGACCCTCGATATAACGGACATTCATCGCTATATAGTTCGTTAGATGGAGGCTTCATATCTAACAGACCCTCGATATAACGACATTCATCGCTATATAGCCTGTTAGATGGAGGCTTCATATCTAGCAGACCAGATGCAACGTGACATTCATCGCCATATAGTTCGTTAGATGGAGTGCCTCATACTTCAACCCCACAGGTGGACAAAAGGTTGAAGACAGGACTTACTGCTGACACAGGTAATATAATGAAGGCCAGGAGGGGGGAGGGGGGGTGGTTAGGAGGTGAGGGGCACAGGTTAGGGAGGTGAGGAGGTATGTTAGGAGGTGAGGGAGGGGGATGGTTAGGAGGTGAGGAGGGAAGGGTTAGGAGGTGAGGGGAATGGTTAGGGAGGTGAGGGGATGTGTTAGGGAGGTGAGGGCAAGGGTTAGAGGTGAGGGGTGGTTAGGAGGAGGAGGATGAATAAAGAGGGGCTGTTGGGGGTGAGGGGGGGATGGTTATGGGGTGAGGAGGGGGATGGTTAGGAGGTGAGGGGGTGGTTAGGAGGTGAGGGAGAGAGTTAGGAAGTGAGAGGGGTTAGGTCTGGGAGATGGTTAGGGGATGAGGGGACGGTTAAGAGGTGAGGGAGAGGGTTAGGAAGTGAGGGGGCTGGTTAGGAGGTGAGGGGCATGGTTAGGAGGTGAAGGGAGTTTATCTTGCAGGTAAAGAATATTAATCCCTGTATATTACACCTAATCTAACCCTACCTTATCTAACCTAACCTAACCTGGACTACTTAGCTGACCACTCTTAAGAGGAGACACGATGGCCTCTCCCTGCTGTCTGACGATGCCACATAGAGAGAGAGAGAGTGGAGACCCGTGTTGGCGACCCAGGACACGCCGCCTGCCTCACCACCCTGACAACCACCTACCACCGCCCTCAGCAACCTTATGTTGACTGTGGTCGGTAGCTTTTGTCGACTTTTACATAATTCATAATCTTGTTGGCAGTAGTAAACCTCCTCGTCTAGTCTTTGTCTTATTTAATTAACAATGAATAAACGTAAAAAAAATAAGCTTTCTCTTCTGTTAAATTTTAAGAATGCGTACAAAACACACATTAAAACACAAACTTACATAATATTCTGTCTTTTTTCATAAATCTGACTACTCAAGTTGCTTTCCACGTAAAAACAATCCTATATAACAAATACAAAAAAAAATTAATAAATATAAATAAAATAAATAAATAAGAAGGTCGTCCCGGGGGAGTGCTTTTTACAACTCACGATAAATGACGATATAAACTCAGGCCCGGTCGACTGCCTCGGGTACATGTGATAATAAAGACGAGTTGAAAATTGTGATATATATACTTGCGGGTACATCTATATTAGTGTACTTGAGGGGAAAATGTTGATGTAGATATTTTGTTAAGATATGGGTGGTATGGAGGAGGAGTAGGAGGAACAGGAGTAGGAGGAACAGGAGTAGGAGGAACAGGAGTAGGAGGAACAGGTGTAGGAGGAACAGGAGTAGGAGGAACAGGAGCAGGGAGTGAATAGGAGAAAGGAGGAACAGGTGTGAAGAACAGGAGTAGGAGGAACATAGGAGGAGGAACAGGAGCAGGAGGAAAGGTGTAGGAGGAACAGGAGTAGGAGGAAACAGGCAGGAGGAACAGGAGTAGGAGGAACAGGAGTAGGAGGAACAGGAGTAGGAGGAACAGGAGTAGGAGGAACAGGAGTAGAAGGAACAGGAGTAGGAGGAGGTGAGAGTTGTTTGTATGTCTCCCCACCAAACATTGTAGAAATATCTCTTTCTCTCTCTGTTTCTATACAAAGAGAATTTCTACACCCAAGAAGAAGAAGAAGAAGAAGAAGAAGAAGAAGAAGAAGAAGAAGAAGAAGAAGAAGAAGAAGAAGAAGAAGAAGAAGAAGAAGAAGAAGAAGAAGAAGAAGAAGAAGAAGAAGAAATAAAGGAAGAATAAAGAAGAAGAAGAAGAAGAAGAAGAAGACACAGAAGAAGAAGAAGAAGAAGAAGAAGAAGAAGAAGAAGAAGAAGTTAAAGAAGAAGAAGAAGAAGAAGAAGAAGAAGAAGAAGAAGAAGAAGAAGAAGAAGAAGAAGAAGAAGAAGAAGAAGAAGAAGAAGAAGAAGAAGAAGAAGAAAGGAAGAAGAAGAAGAAGAAGAAGAAGAAGAAGAAGAAGAAGAAGAAGAAGAAGAAGAAGAAGAAGAAGAAGAAGAAGAAGAAGAAGAAGAAGAAGAAGAAGAAGAAGAAGAAGAAGAAGAAGAAGAAGAAGAAGAAGAAGAAGAAGAAGAAGAAGAAGAAGAAGAAGAAGAAGAAGAAGAAGAAGAAGAAGAAGAAGAAGAAGAAGAAGAAGAAGAAGAAGAAGAAGAAGAAGAAGAAGAAAGGAAGAAAAGAAGAAGAAGAAGAAGAAGAAGAGAAGAAGGAAGAAGAAGAAGAAGAAAGAAGAAGAAGAAGAAGAAGAAGAAGAAGAAGAAAAGAAGAAGAAGAAGAAGAAGAAGAAGAAGAAGAAGAAGAAGAAGAAGAAGAAGAAGAAGAAGAAGAAGAAGAAGGAAGAAGAAGAAGAAGAAGAAGAAGAAGAAGAAGAAGAAGAAGAAGAAGAAGAAGAAGAAGAAGAAGAAGAAGAAGAAGAAGAAGAAGAAGAAGAAGAAGAAGAAGAAGAAGAAGAAGAAGAAGAAGAAGAAGAAGAAGAAGAAGAAGAAGAAGAAGAAGAAGAAGAAGAAGAAGAAGAAGAAGAAGAAGAAGAAGAAGAAGAAGAAGAAGAAGAAGAAGAAGAAGAAGAAGAAGAAGAAGGGCAGAAGGGATCTCATTTTCCTTTACCTCGATCTGTCTGTCTGTGTATCTGTGTATTTTGACCTTGCTGAATTACTCCAAAGTTCGAGGAGGAGGAGAAGGGGGAGAGGGAGAGAGGAGAGGGGAAAGGGGAGAAGAGGGAAATGGGGAGGAGAGGGGAATGGGGAGAAGAAGGGGAATGGGGAGGAGAGGGGAATGGGGAGAAGGGAATGGGGAGAAGAGGGGAATGGGGAGGAGAGGGAATGGGGAGAAGGGAATGGGAGGAGGAGGGGAATGGGGAGGAGAGGGGAATGGAGAGGAGAGGGGAATGGGGAGAAGGGAATGGGGAGGAGAGGGAAGAGGGAGGAGGGGAAAGGGGAGAAGAGGGGAATGGGGAGGAGAGGGGAATGGGTAGAAGAGGGGAATGGGGAGGAGAGGGGAATGGGGAGAAGGGAATTGGGAGGAGAGGGGAATGGGTAGGAGAAGGGAAGGGGAATGGGTAGGAGAAGGGGGAGGGGGGAGGAGCAGGGTGGTATTTGAAGGCTCAGCCGAGGGACTTTACGAGAGAGTATTAGGAGACGGTGGCGAATTATAGACACTGAAGGATAAGCTGAAAAGACTCGAAGGATTGCGATAAGGATGAGAGCAGAGACTATTATGAGGTGGAGTGGGAAGACGAGGTGAGGGTGTTAGTGGAGTGGGAAGACGAGGTGGGAGTGTTAGTGGAGTGGGAAGACGAGGTGGGAGTGCTAGGGGGAGGGAAGACGAGGTGGGGAGCGGTGGAGTGGGAAGACGAGGCAGAGGGGGTGTTAGGGAGTGGGAAGACGAGATGGGGGGTAAGAGGAGGGAAGACGAGGAGGGGTGGTGGAGGAAAGGACGAGGTGGGGGTGTTAGTGGAGGGAAGACGAGGTGAGAGTGGTGGAGTGGGAAGACGAGGTGAGGGTGTTAGGGAGGGGAAGACGAGGGAGTGTTATTGGAGTGGGAAGACGAGG